CTTCCGCAAAGCTACAGGATATGCCAATTAACAGTTTTTCCACAGCTCTGCATGGTAAGCCAAGTCTCTGGTTCTACCACAGAGAGAGTAGATGTTTCAAGCAGAGCCTCTGCACCACTAGCACATGACTAGGTGTCTAGAAACTCAGCCACTGCCGGTGACACCTCTCAGCTCTCTACCTTCCTCAAGTCAGAGCCAACACTCCTGACAAGAGCAGCCCTACAGAGAAGGGTTCCCAACAGGAGTCTGGCCCCCATTAGCAGCAGAGGCTGATTAGAACAGCACCTTCCAGAATCTGACACACATTCTCTACAACAGTAAAGTGCTCTCCTGTAGAGACAGGCAAAGTCCACAGTAGGAAGCAACTGCTGCCTGGAGTGACTGAAGCAAGACATGGCTGCAGTCAAGGGCAGTGATGCATTGATGATCCTTGAGGTCTCTTCCAACCCAGTTGATTCTATGATTACCATTTGTACAGAAGTCAGCATGCTGCCAATGCTTTCTGAGAAAGACCTAGGCATATTTGTTTACTGCTGCATTCTGTCTGTTTCAGCACTTCTTCAATAGCATCAAAGATGTCTCTAGGGCTTTCAGAAGTTTCCACAAACTGAAGTATTAGTAGGGGCCACACTCAATGCTCCACTTACTGCAGTGAAAGGCTTCTGTTTCACTCACAAAAATATTGTCCTTTCTACCAAAGTTATTTTTATAAGCAGAATAGCATTGTAAGCTAAGTGTATGTTTACCCGAAGTCTACCTATAAAACCTATCAAGCCAAAAGCCTTTCTCCTCCTCAATCAGTTTAATTAAATATACTTTTGCCTGTTCATGTCTTGCCCACAGACACAGCTATTTATACCATCACTTATAAATAGTTATGGCTTCTTTTCTCAACTAGATCCTCCTCTTAAAGGTATGGTCCAACTCAGCAGATGGAGGTGAAATCAGCAAGTCACTAACAACCATCAGATACTTATCTAGCTAAATCAAAACTGATTAACAGGGCAAGCCTTTCAAGAAAAAATTGCTGACCAATCATTACCACAGTAAGTAGCAGGTTTAACTAATCCTCAGAATTCTCATTACTATTTGAGACAGACAATGTGTTTCACCTGTCCATGGTTAGCCTTCTAGGGAGCAAACCATCAGGTGATATTAGATTAGGTAATACATAAGTGGGAAGGAGTCTAAAATGAGAGCATCTGGCCCAAATACAAGCAGCCAAGTAACTGCCATGATTCACTCCCACAATACAAGAGATGTTTGACAAGTCAAAAGTCAGCATCAAAAGAAATTGTTTCCCCTGCATTCACACAATGCTTTTTGAGTTTGTTCACACATCCTTCAAACATCTGAAAAAAAATCCCCATGATTTTTTTGCTCAGAGAAGCCCAGTAAACAGTTGATTTTCTAGACAGTTTGGCCCATAAATGCTTCAAAAGAAGTACCTGGCTCTTCCCCTCCATGATTTCTTTGAGGCGTTTTAAAACAGTGCTGAGGCTTCTCAGCTGAACTGCTGTTCGAGGATCATGACCTCCAAGAGTTGGTTCTACTTTCCTTCGATTGTCTGGAAAGGAAGGGAGAGTAGTATTCATTTCTTCCATGATATAGCATTTACATCACAATACAAAACCCCATTATAGGGAAAAACATTCACATATACATTTTACAAGGTTACAATGTGTATCACATCTTCCCCTTGCAGTCTTTTCCTCCAGAAGGGGCTTCTGACATATTGCTTTGACTGACACATCATCCTCTGTGTTTACAAGAAGCAATTTAAGTTCTCTGAGAATGAAAATATCTTTTAAAGAAGTGATTTTCAATCTACTATATGAAGCTTGTCTTTTACAAAGCACTGAAGTCTCATTTCAGAATGCCCTCTAGGATTTTAATACTTACAAAATAATTGCAATAATAGTCACATTTATTCTAGGTGTGGTATAAGTTGATGCCTTAACTTGAAGTTATTATAAATGACTACAGGAAATATCTGGACTTAATTCCTCAGTTTCTATTAAAAATAGTAACTCACAATAAAATGCATCCAGAAGTCCACATTTTGAGGATTTTTTTGGTTTTTTTTTCTAAGAAAAAAATTGTTGAGAACTTGTACAGTCATTCTTGATTAACTATAGCAAAGAGACTCCTACATAAAAAGTAATGCAGCTTATTTCTTTCCTATAAAACGCTAGATGACTTAGATGCGTTGCTATACGAGTTACAAACAAGATCCTTCTCTCCAGAAAGATTTGCAAACACAGTGCTCTATTTAAACAATTAAACATTCTCAGAGTCGCTTTTCTACATCAACAACTTTTCTGAATAGTTTAAAGTTTCTTACCAGCTTCGTTGCTCTCCATCTGCCTAGTGTTTTATTTTGCTTAGTCGGGGAAGAACAGACATGGCTGCTGTGTTTACTGCCCGAGATAGCACTGATGTCAGCGGGAAGGCTGACAGCGCTGGCACAGGAGTGTTAACTGCTGCCGTGCAGGAGACTACACTATTGCTTTGTGTGAGATCAGACCACAACCCTCACTGGAATCTGATTAAAACCATGGGATTCCATGCCTCCTCTTCGGGCTCTTGGTAGATATTTTTAGTCACTCAGCCCACACATAGCTGCTATGTTCAATAAAGAATCCACAACAGGAGATTTTCTTATTTTTCAGAGATTCTAGGGCGCTCAAACGCATTCCTGTGGCTTGGAATTTCGGGGTTTTAAAAAAATCAAACAAATCGATTTTCAGACAGTACCAAGTTGAGTACTTTAGGCTGATTAAAGGGACTTCCATATTTCAAGAAAACATTGATAATGCCATAGAAACCTTTGGCTTCTCCTTACTTCTGTCACAAAATCTATGCTGCATTTACTCCCTGGACTTTCCTCTGTAACTTCTGCATTCAAGAGTATCTTGTTTCCAGGAATGTTGCTTCCGATTTTAAGAACTATTATCAGATCTCCTGCCTAACTAGCTACAAATCTTGTCAGGCAAATGATCCCCAAAATACACACATACACAGCACTGAGGAAATACCACAGGTAACTCCACACTGATTCTCTTGCTAGTTAAATGCCCTTTTGTTACATAAAACAATGCCAAAAGGATGTCACCTACATAAGAACAAGTATGCCCTCAGCAGTGGCAGCACACAGCTAACCTGTTTGTACTAGACAAGCTGATTCTCAGACTAAAATTCAGTTGGCTCTTTTCCTTCTCCCTTTCTGAGGAAAAACACACTGTACATCATTCCTGCAGTACAGGACATACTGTGTCTAAAACACCATCCTTGCAAACGAATTCACATGCATCAGTCTTAGGTTAACTCTTACTCCTGATCCAAACTGCATTATTCTAAATACCACTGCCATTTTCTCAGCTAAGGCACACACGAATTACAGATGTATATGTTCTCAGCATTGCAACTCTATGTCCTCATTTCACCATTACATCTGCAAAACTCATGTTCCGTTCCACAAACACAGAAATTCTAAGAGCATTTTTCTTGCTTTGCCTACATCATCATCCCAAGTGCCATCAGTTGCAATTCTGAAGAGATTTCATATCTTCTTTTGATTTGATCCCAAGAGGGTTAACCATACTTAATAACTAAGTAGTGGTAAGCCTTTTCAGTGCTCCTGAAGCAGCAAACGCAGTATATGCTACTAAAGGATATAAAAAGCCAAACCCATACACAAAAATCCACACCACCCAAAAAAACTCCCCCCAAAACCCAACCAAACCCAAAACCCTATACCTCATCAGCCACAATTCAAGTTACATACAGGAAATTAGTTTTTAAAACAAAAGTAAATTTTAAGTAAGTGCTATTTAAACTTTAAGTAGCTGTTCTTTAATTAGATCAACTCCACAAACTTTTGCTTGTCATTGCTACATCTCAGCTCTTCAATGTAACACACGAACATGAGTGTGGGACTCACTTCAGGAATACCAGTTTATGCAGCAGTTGTGTTTCTTCTCTCCATTCCCTTTCCATCTACAGGTTTACTGAACAAAATCTCAATACATCAGAGGAACTCTATACAGTTTTCCAATTTGACTATTTCTAACTAATTTCTATTTATCCTTCTTAAGCTAAAAATTAATGTCTACAGCTGAAAAAAAGAAATAAACAAAAAAGTTCTCATATTTCAACAGTAGCTCTCACCCTTCCTATACGTATTCATGGTCCCTGATCCTTGGCAAAACCTATACATCTGCTGAATCACAGAAATACGTTTTTCCAGAGTTTCTCTTGTGACCCTATGGCATTTTAGCATTCATTTTACAGTGAATGACAAGTAAAAAACACTACAAGAACTCCTTTGCTTCAACTTAACTCCAAGTTTCAGTTTACAGCTGATCACACACTAACACAACAGGTACAGAAAGCTTTCACAGTTTCAACAAAAAAAAAACACCCCTGCCAGGAATACCACAGTTTTGCTAATACAAATCAACATGAATTGTTTTCTAGTCATTTGCTGCCAAAGCATATAATTCCATATTCAAGTTCACGATCATAGTTCAAACATCACATCATGCACAAGTCACTGCCAAAGTACTGACATGAAAAATATGAAAGCTGTCCTTAACTTCATTTTACAACATGCATTTTCATGTTGTAAGTCTTTTACATTAGAAAAGATGTTCAGGTACTAACTCATGCTCTATATGATTCCCACTAACCACCACAGCTTTTCCTCAGGCCTTCTTAGCCTCATATGATCATTGGCCACCCTTTACGAAGCTCCTTGCCCATTCCCTGCTACAATCAAGTCCAGCATTAACAGCATTACCCTGCATGACAGGATAACAAGCTACAAATGGTTTTACTACCAATGCTCCCTCTCCAACTGGTCAGCATTTCCAGTTCTCTTTAAACTGGATTTGCAAGCTGTGAGGTTATCTCAGTGACAGTAGTCTCATTATCAGACTATTTTGGTTCAATCCAGCACCTTGAAAGCTTGATCTGACAGCACAGACACATGCAGTCCAATACAACCAGCTGGGCCCACTGCCACTGTAGAAGTGACACCAGCTCTGCAGTACCCTACTCCAGCACATGAGGATGCAACAGATTACCCAAGAGGAAGGCCACAGAGTCACTGCAGAATCTCAGCACTGATTCTTCAGCTGTACAACCCTCAGAGCACCTCTGACAGGCATCCAGCAGCTTCTCCTATTTTCACAAAAGCCAGTAAGGTGCTATTATAATGTTTTTGTGTAAGCAGTCCTGAAGGGAAGCACACAATTGAAATCTTACATATGATGCCAGACAGTTTCCTACAAAAGCCACCACGTCTCCAGGTTGTTCTGCACTTGCAATCGTCAGCCAGCATAGTCCCTGAGCAATGAGAATATCTGCTGTGCAGGCAGTGCAAGCCAATGGACACACGAGGGGTGAAAGTCAGCATCTTCAGGAGCAATTTCATTCTATCACTATTAGATAGAAGATTAGAAGATTATTTGTGCAGCCCAGCACCATTTGCAATGGCAGAAGTAAAATTCTCCTCTGCTCAGTGGTAAGAAATCTTCAAAGACCTGATTATTCAGCACCTTTTAAGGCAAAAGAAGGAAACAAACAATTTTCTAAAGTTTGCTTAAAAAACCCAACAGTGCCTGATTTTTGGAGAAGGACAATGCAAGTATTTTTCACCTCTTCACATACAGTGAGATGCCTAGAAAACTCCCCCAAAATCTCCTCACCAATGCAGTACACTTGCATTACACAGAGTTCATGTTTGTTACAGCACCAAGGTAAATCCTCAAGAGTGAGTCAGGCCACTCAGCATCCAGCACCACTGCAATCTCTTCAAAAAGCCAGGAATTCCTGCTTGGTCTAACTTTACTTCTTTCCAGGCTGATTCATTAGCACATTTTTCTAAGCATACTTGCATCCAAATCCAGTAACATGAATGGAGGTCCTGAAAAGGAGTTGGAATAATAGAACAACAGTTCCTCCCCCCACACCTTCAACAAAGTCCTATCTCCCTGGCTGCCTAATCCCAGAGAAGTCAAACAGCAAGATTATTTCTGCCTTCTGAGTATCAAACAGCATACCTCACCTAAAGGTTTCTAATCTCTAATCCCCAGGCAATTTCCAAGTGATATCCAAGAGGTAACTAAGAATGAAGTAAGCTGGCATGTCAGCCAAGAGCACATGGCTGTACTTGGGACATTTGAGAATGCTCTTCTTAAAACCCCAAACAAACCAACAACAAAAAAAACCCAAAACAAAACAAACCCCTACCTTAACTGGTTCGTTGGGACAGGAACAACTAAATAGAACAGTACTAGAGGCCAAGGAGGAAGGTGATGAATGTGTTCAACTAAGACAGAATGCAAATGGCTTAGACAAAAACACTAGTTATCTGCACTGGACTTTTGCCTGGTTACCAAGACTCCAAGAGTAGACATCTTTCTAAAAATCCTATACACATTAACAATATTTGAGATCTGATTTGTTTGTACTGTGTATCACACTCTTGGAAATACTTGTATAGGATTGTTACCTAGCTTAGCAGTTTCCTCAAGGCTATCACAAACAACTGACAGCAACCAGCCAGATCTTAAGTGGGACACTTGCAATCTACTTCCTAGCTCTTCCAGAGCTTCATGAAGCCATTACACAGTTCCACCTTTGAAATCACATTTGATTCCCATTCCAGCTAAAAGATTCAGTATGGCATCCGGCAATAGTTCCAAGGTAAGGTAAGGTAAGACTAAAAATAATGAACTTCCTATTCAAGTCTACTCAAAACAGCTACAAGCAAAAACCTACATCTATAACTCCTTTGAAGACATAAACATCCCCTCCATTCAGATTAAGAACTAAAGTTACATTTTGCATGTGGATGTTAACAAACTGTAGTCTCAAGGTAAAGCAGTAATTTTCAGGATCAAGGTTCAAGTGGCTTTAAAATCTTGGATGTGTTTTGGCAGCCACTTTTGCTCCAAATTGTTTTCCAATTGAAAGAGCAGAGCCGCAACAACAAGACGTCTTGCTGGAACATCAAGAACAGTGGAGGGAACATATTTCTGAGGTTAAAGTGTGACCTCACTAACAGAAGCAGTGTAGCCTGACGCTAAATTCTGCTATCGATCTAGATGGTCAATGAACCTTTGCTCACTTCCTTCCACCACATCCTGAAACATCCCAGACTGGCTAATAGAACATACCCTTATAGCACAAAGAGCTGAAATTACCCAGGGCTGTAGATGATCTTCTTTGCAGCTCACCAGTCAGTTGTTTTTTGTAAGGAATTGGTGACCTCAGAGACTGAGCCCTGGTGGGATGCTGAGGACTGGACCAGCCACCACTCAATGCTTGTGGATCACTCTGTCCTGGCTCTGCTCTCTCTGCCGGGGAGGAAAGCCTGCCATCATCTAGAGTGGACAAAAGGCAAGAAACCAACTGCTCAGACATGATAAAGAAAACCAGTAGTGCATGTAAAACTAAAGGTAAAAAACTCTCACGAACAGTTTTTTTGGATCATGATTAAACATAGCAGAATACATTAAATTTTAGTTTTAAAAGTACCATACAAATCATGGAAAGAGAACAGTATGTAGAACTTGTCTGTCGAGGGTCAGGCTATTTCAGAAATATTCCTAATGTGAAAAGTGTCTAAAAACTCAAACTGGCAAACATGACTCATTCTTGATATATGGAATAACTATACTTGGTTATCAGCTCTGCTCTGGAAAGAGTTTTTCAGTTATGTTAGAAGCCAGTACTGAGGTCACATTAAAGTTACCACAGCCTTTTATTTCCATCAGCAGATCAAGTATAGGCAGGTTCTCATTGATTCCAGTAACATCCCCATTTCATGTGTTGTTTCAAGGTTGTTTTCCCATTCTCTCAACACAAGACTTTGCTGACTCCAGCAATATTTGTCAGAAACAAACAAGTGAAGCCAATGTTGACCACATCTTATGTTACTTCCAGTAAGTTAGCAATGACAGGTGCTATCCTAGTATGCAAACTAACAGCAGTCTTACCCAATAATTATTTTTCATTCTGCACAAGAAGAGCCTGAACAGATCAGTTTGCTTACACAAAGAGCTATCTTGGCCTTTTTCCCCAAGCCCAAACACTGCAGAAGCATGCTTAGCAGAGCTGGATAATGAACAGACCAAACAAAAGCAGCTGACCGGTCTGCCATCTCCAGTAAAGAGATACAGAGATTTTGTACAAAATCAAGGTCCATTCATTCACCACTCTTTGCTCGATATTTCTTTGAAACAAAAAAACCCCTCACATAGCTCTTTTAAGAGCTCACACACTGACAATGAGTTTCATGACAGATACAGCACAAAGGCCAAAATCAAACATATATATACAAAACTTTTATGACATTTCAGACCTCTTGATGCGGAACATTTAAGCCATGTGAGTTGTGTGAACTTCCTGTAACTACACTACTTTATTGCAGCTCAGCTGTCATCCAGCTAAAGGTAAAAGGTGCACAGGAAGGTGAGGGATGGAGGAAGTCGGAAGTAAGAACTTGCAGTGGAAGGACAAGCACACATTTTGCTCATATAGGCTGGCAGAGGATTACTCCTACTTTCAGCCCAAAAAAAGTTCACAAAGGCAAACTAAGAATGCGTACAGCACTATCTGCTAATTGGCTTGTCTCTGACCTTCATGAGCAGCCAGAGATTTGTAGCTGCAAGATGCTAGCTACCTTCTCTCATACCAAAGCTCTGCTATGCCACCCAAAAGCAAGACGCAACATCCCTCACAAAAGAACTGACACAGCATCAGCCATCTGACGTTATGCTCTTCTATTCAAAGGTTTATGGAGGAGCAGAGGGCACACACAATCCACACACACACACTGCCCCAGCACTTACCTTTGCTGAAGCGGAAGAGGTTTACAAAGGAACTGTAGGCTGATTTAAAAGGAGGCTCATCCTGGTCAGGAGTCAGAGGTTTGAAGTGAGTGAGATGAGAAGGACTACTAGGAGAGTGAGGTAGATCACTGGTGGAGTCCAAGGTTGGAGAGCGTTTGTCATCTGCGGCCATTTCACATGCCCTGGAAAGAGTTCAGCAACACTTCTTATACACAGGGAAGGGAAGCAGAATCTCTTCAATCAACTGAAGAGGAGGTGTCTCATTAGATCCCAGAGGGAAGAGATACCCCCAGCTGACCACAGACACGTACCCTTAGCACAGGTCAAGAGTGCCAGAGTTAGGAGTACGTCCCCTGCCCAGTCACTGACAAGAGATCAGCATCTCTGCAGACAGCAATTCAAAGTGCCTAGCTAAACATCCAGAGCAACCAAGTAAGTAAACAGCCACTACACTGTCTGATGACACGCTCCAGCTGTGGTTTTATGGGAACTTGGAAGTTTTCAAATGGGGACTCTGCATGCATATCACACAGAAGTTTTAACTCTTAGAGAAGAGCTGTCAATGCTGTTATTTCTGCAGCCCTTGTAACAATAAAACTGAAGACAGGCATGCCTGAGCAAGCACACGACAGACTTGTTGTTTGGCCATATGAACTTCAGAACAAGAAACAGAATGAACCACAAACAAAAGCAGGACTGAAAGATTAAGTTCAGTGGCAAACTGCTTCCTTCCCCTCCCTTTACAATACAGGACCTTGTGCAAGTTACCAGGGAAGCAACCCAAATCTAACACCTTCAAAGTTCCTTTTTTTCAGGAGTAGCTGCTTTAAGGAAAAACAAACAAAAATCCAAACCACTTTCTGTGTTAGGAGAAGCCATACCTGTTAAGGTATTTTCTGTGTACCAAAGCTTCCACACAGCCAAGAGTCACACTTTCCCACAGCCCACATTCTTTAACTTCAACAGACACCGGATTTCTTTCAATGCCTCACTCAGCCTGCACTTCTAGCCCGCTAGGCTAAGGTGCTTGCTACCTTCATCTTTGTTGAAGCAAGACTTAGTGTAATGATTGACAGAGCAGGAACATGGGGAGCTGACGGAACCTGTGAGTGATGGCTGACTTCTATCTGTGCCAAGGATCAACACTCTGTATGGGCCTACTTCCCGCTCAGCAGCCAATACACATTCCTCCACGAAATACCAACTTCCACAACTGTTCCCTAGAACCTACAGCCATTTTTTTGCTGACTAGAATATTTTCTTCCAAGTTGTAAGAAGCAGTACTAAAAAAAATAAAAAAAATGTGTAGTCCAGAGAAAATCCACATGGTTGGCAAGTGACACTGGAAGTACTAACAAGCTGCATGTGGCAAGGTTTGACCACTCCTACACAGAGCACAAAAGATGGTATCTGCAAGTCATTCACATGACTCCTCAGTGAACTTCTGCTTGTTGCTCTGGTTAGTAAGCACCTTCATTTCAGTTTCTCCTGCTATTCACATATCCTTAGAAAAGAAAAGAGAGAGGCATCATTCACTAAGTTTCAAGAGGAACTTTGGTCAGGTTCTTTATGCAAGGCTGAGTCTTAGACTGGAAAGCTTCCACATCCCTCTCTCCTGTAAGTCAGAGTACGTGTTTTGCTGTTGCTCAATTCAGCAATATTCAGGTCATTTGAACATGCTTAAACACCAGAGTTCATGGGACATTTTACTTCATGAGCACATCTTCAGATAAATTTGGAATGGTTTCTTCAGTCTTAAGGCAACTAATAGTTTGCTTTTCAAATGTTGAACAGACAACAGGGGTGTGCTCTCACACACACCACCACATTAAATATGCCACTATGAAATCAACCAGAAGCTTTACAGAAAGCATAGAATTCTAGGGGGTGGAATGGACCTTACAGATCATCTAGTTCCAATGCACCTGCCATGGGCAGGGACAACCTCCTCACCAGACTGGGCTGCTCAAGGCTTGATCTAATCTGGCTTTGAACATCTCCAGGGTTGGGGCATCCACTACCTCCCTGGGCAACCTGTGCCAGTGTCTGACCATACCCACAGGAAAAAAACCTATCCTAATATCTAGCCTAAATTTCCTTCCCCTCCTTAATTTGAACTTGTTACCCCACTGCAGCTCCTAACAAAGACTCCCTAGACTGGGCTGCTCAAGGCTTGATCTAATCTGGCTTTGAACATCTCCAGGGTTGGGGCATCCACTACCTCCCTGGGCAACCTGTGCCAGTGTCTGACCATACCCACAGGAAAAAAACCTATCCTAATATCTAGCCTAAATTTCCTTCCCCTCCTTAATTTGAACTTGTTACCCCACTGCAGCTCCTAACAAAGACTCCCTCCCTGGCTCCCCTGGAGCCGAGCCCACGAGCTACTGTCCTCTTAGCAACTTCGTGGTCTCCTCTGGACTTGCTCCAACAGTTCCATGTCCTTCTTATGTTGAAGGCACCAGAACTGCACACAATATTCCAGGTGGGGTCTCACGAGAGCAGAGGGAGTGAATCACCTCCCTTGACTCACTGGCCACACTCCTGTGGATGGAGCCCAGAATTCAATTGGCATAGAAGACTGTGTTCATATTTTAGCAACTGACTATAGCCTAGCAAGACAGCAAATAACGAGGAAGTCTCTGAACCTGCATGCTATATATATGTGATTACAGAAAAATAAACTTTAGCTCCAAGGGAAAAAAACCCCCACACAATAATTGCTTCTGTGACAGCAGCACTAGCCTAATTAAAACAGATTGAAAAGAAGAGCATTGCACTTGGCATGAGCTCTGAAACACCTGGACCAACACATTAGCTGTGGAGTGTATCAGCCTTTCTTAAAGGGCTTTAGTTTTCCCACTGAAAGGAGAGCACCCCAGCACACGAAACAGGGAAATAGTCACTAATTAGTATGCTATGGGAAATCAGAGAGCAAGGGGCACATAGCAATCAATAGGCACAAAACCAGAGCACATCTGCCTCGGGTCGCCCACCAACAGCCACGGGGAACATATCTAGTGCCACTTGACGCTGCAGCTTCAGCAACCATCAACTCACCAGCGCTGAAACACAGAGAGCAAGTACCGGTGTGAGCCTCTCACCCCCAGAGCAGCTCTGCGAGGTCCCGCTCCGCTCAGCACGAGGCTCAGGCCTCTCCCTGCTCCACGGACGCCGCTCCCAGGCCCCGCTAACACCCTGACCACTAGCAATTCAAACCTCGCACACTTCACCTGCAGCCCGCGCGCCGGAGCCTCTGCGGAGGGGACA